GTAGAACTTAAAAACCACTATTTTAGGTCTGGAACTCTAGCCTAGTGGTAGAGTACTTGCCTAGCATACGTAAAGCCTTGGGATTGATCAGAAGCAAAAATCAAACAAGAACCCCTGATTTTGGAGGTCATGCGGCTGAGCCAAGCATTTAGTCTCTACCAGCTCTGCTACAGATACCTCTTTGGCTGTGTGCTCATGATGATAATGGCTTTTCCAGTCCTGAAGGGTTGCTTCTGCTGACTCCAGACTTGCGCCAGATGTCCACTGAGTGGCCCCTTGACATCTGAGGACATCCGGCCTCCTTCTCTGCTTCGTCAATACGTTCTGTTTCACAAAACTCGCCTCCATGGTTTGACATGTTGTGAGCGGGGAAAGCAGGCTGGTTCCGTACCATTTGTGTGGCTTGTAAAACCAAAGCACAAACTGGGCCTGTCCCGGAATTCAGGCATCGGCCCAGTGAAAGCAAGGGACGGAAGCCGAAGGTGGTTTCAACAGAAAATGTTTATTTTAAGAAGACACAAACAGCTCTAGCTCTATAAAGAATACAGTTCAATTGCTGGTAGCAAGCCAGTAAGGAATCTTAAAACAAAACCAAACAAGAAATCAAGGAAAAGAAAGACAAGAAACCACCTTTGCAATATCACCCCACAGACGGCTCCCTTCTGGTTTGTGTTGGAATCCTACAAAGGCAAGGTTGGCGATCTCTCCTAGCTAGTGCCTCTCCTGGAATTGGAATCCGAGACACAGTTCCATCCCTGGGGGCGGGCCTTATCCCTGCCTTTCAGTAGGCCATCACTCTGTACACTCCCATCTGGCATTTGTCTTCAGGGCAAATGGGCCCAGGAGCACGGACTGCAGCGGCCGCGCTAACCCGACACAACTCTGCGGGGCTGCGCAGCAGTTACTTCTCAGCCCTCACTGCTTCTGAGCCTGCAGCTACTTGTGTTCCTCTTGGGTCCAAGGCACAACCCTTTCCTTTCCTTCCTAATTCTGGAAATCCCAAAGAGAAGGCAGAAATGAACCATTTCACGGGAGCTTTGAAAAAGGAAACCCTGAAAATCACTCGATTCTGACGTTTGAAAATTTAGGTTTCAGGAAATGGGTGGATCCCTGGGCTCAAATGACAGAAATCAAGTTAAAGGGCCAAAGATGCTTATGTCCTGGTAACTGAGTCCACATGCATTAAAAGAAGTCCTGGCAGGCCGGGGCGGTGGTGGCACACGCCTTTAATCCCAGCACTCAGGAGACAGAGCCAGGCAGATCTCTGTGAGTTCGAGGCCAGCCTGGTCTCCAAAGCGAGTTCCAGGAAAGGTGCAAAGCTACACAGAGAAACCTTGTCTTGAAGAACAAAAAACAAAAAGAAAAAAGATAAAAAAAAAAAAAAGAAGTCCTGGCATAGAGGAGTTCTTTTAAATGGCTCCATGCAAGAGGAGCTGGAGCAAGCCAATGCAAAGAGGCTCTCAGAAGACAAGAGCGATGCCTCAGGACTCCTGCTCTGCCATTCCCTGCCTTGATCAGTCCCGGACCAGAGGGCCAACGAGAGCGCTGTATGTTGTGCACACGCTCGGGTGTGAGTCACAGCCAGGTGTGGAAAATACGCTCACACAGGTGCACACTTTTGCAGCGGCTGGTTTTACCCCAGTCCGCACACAGTTAAGTGGGAGAACTGTGAATCTCAACTCCAACTCCTGAAAGTGTGAGGGGTGGGCTGGGAGCAGCCCATCGGGAGAGGTGAAGCAAACAGGATGGGGTGTGTTGGATGCCTATTTTTTGGAGGGGTGCAGTGAAGCACTCCAGGGGATGGGGATTCGGGAGGCAGGGGACCCTGTGGCACAGATACTTCCTGTACCCCACTGGTTTCTTGCTGGGGTTCCATGCTGGCTAGTGCTAGGTCTCAATTGCTTTAGGACAGAGATAAGTGTGTATTCTGGGTTTTCAAACCAGTCCGTGGAAGCAGGAAGCTGGTGATTTTTCCTGGAAACTGTAAACTGAACTGGATCTTATGGTGTGTGCTATTAGACTTTTGAATGACAGCACCCTAAACCGGTGACAGCAGTGTGGGATATGACCAGGCGGCCCAAGACAGGGAGAGCAAGGACAGGACAGAAGAACTAAGTAAACTTTCCTACCAGCTTACCTCAACCTTGGGCAAACAGAGCCACAATGGATGGGGCAGCGCCAGAGAAGGAAATAAGCTGTTCTAGATCAACATAATTAGTGATAGGGGGACACAGAGAAGACTGTCGCATGCAGCCCCTCTCCACCTGTTCCTGTCCCGATGTGAGCAGACTGATCTGATGGTACGGCATGGTGTATGTGAGGCAGTTAGCCACAGACTCTGGTACAAGACTCAACTTAGAAAACCTTCATAAAGTATTACATTTATCTATTTGTGTGTGTGAGTCTGTGTGCATGGACATGTGCAGAGGTCAGAGGTCAATTTGCAGGGCTTGATTCTCTCCTTCTACCACGTGGGGGCTACTAAAACCTAGATCAGATTGTCAGGTTTGGTGGTAGGTGCCCTTAGGTGCTGAGCCGCTGTGCCAGCCCTCACCCACTTTTCTCATGGGGGTGGTCCCAAAAATGGTAGTGTGGATCCGGGGCCAGTCTTGCAAGGCCTGTGAGCTGAGAATGGTTTTCGTATGTTCTAAGGGTTAGAAAACAAGTGAATGGCCAGGTGGTGGTGGCGCACGCCTTTAATCCCAGCACTCGGGAGGCAGAGCCAGGTGGGTCTCTGTGAGTTCGAGGCCAGCCTGG